ACAGTCCAGTGTTTATTCCAAGCAGCTTTCTCTTCCATTGAAACCATTTCTCAGGCTCACCATCATGTTCGAAATGGAGAGGAAAAGCTGGTTATATGAATGTTGTACTAAGACCAGAGTAAAATATGATAATGAGTACAAATGGGATTATTAGGAGCCTGTGTGTCATCAGTCTGACTGATCCACGACGTCAAACTAGCCAAGCAAATTCAATTAGGCCTGCAATTACTCCCTGGCGTAAGTGGAGACGTATTGGATGATGTTAAATATTGATGGAAACACAGACGCCACATTTGTTCATCTCCAAAAGGTGAACACATCTCCTCGAGATAATCACAAATGCTAAATATGTTGCCTGTCCACAAAGAGCAAATATGAAGCATGTTGTCACGAACACGTCCTGCAAATGAACTGCAGGTATATTTAGACCATACCTGGTTGCTGAGAGATTTTATTTTTAGTTTGATTTAAATGAAAACTTTCAGTTTGAAATTGTCAATCTTGCGTGTGTTATTGAAAAAGCTTAATTTCAATCTAAAAATAATTTGCAGCTGAAGAAAATGAGCTAGTTCTTGTTTACTGGGACTGCAGGTAGATAAGCAAATATTAGCTTTGAATGACTTTATAATTCTTCAATCTATTGACTCTTTGCAACTACGTCACTAAATAATTTGAGGCGAAATAATGGACGTCGGAAGTGAGGGATGGGAGTATTGAACAAAGCGACTGAAATTATTTTCCAACGTGGTTTTGCCAGTTTATTCATGGCTCCTACCCCTGGTTGGGGCTTATAGACCACGGTATATAGAAATGCCTGAAACAGCTAGCTTAGAAACCGACCTATACCTCCTCCCTCATGACGTGTTGATCAAATGACCGACTTTACCTGAATTAACAGTGCATGACTTATGTCACTATGTCATAAACATAAACAACCGGAGCAGCATTAAAAACGTACAAAAGACGAGATGCTAACCAGTTTTTTCCGCACTTGCTAGGCTACATGACGGCGCAACGTTGTCTCCATGGTTACTAACGGTTCGACGCGAACCTTCCTCATAATGCGATATTTTATATCTTTCTAATCATACTTGCTTATAAAGTATACGAATGTTAATCTTCTTACCTTGTAAACAGTGTTTACTGCAAATCCACCATTACACCAAGGGGTGACAGTCATTCAGCTTTCGGCTGCTATCCATCACCGCAGGATCTTTCCTCATTAAAAGTTATACAATAAAGTTTGGTTTTCATCCTTGCCTGTTGTGCTGCCGACCGCGCAGAACCCTATGACCGTTTTTAAAGGGAAATCAACTAAGTAAAAGCGATATTAGGCTACAGACGCCTTTCTTCTTCTTTTTTTTTTTTTTTTTTTTTTTTTTTTTTGTTTGGGGTGAAAATTTTTTT